CCCCCATTCTCTTTTTCTCAGTCTCCTTGCCTTTAGAAGTGATCCGGTTGTCTTGTAGGGCTTGTAGATGTGTAATGGCCCAGGTCACATTTCCTCTTTGAGATTGCTCTGAAGTGCCTTTCTGTTTGCGGTTGCTATAGCAATGCTCTCCAAGCCTATTCTGCCACATGCATCATCAGCTGAAAGGCAGACGGGATGGGAGGGCAGAAGAGAGGGGGAGGACAGGTCATGCGTTGCATAAACAGATTACGAGCATGTGTGGGATATGAGGTCATGTGACTAAGATGAGATATCTGGTACAAGGCTTATTTTCTTTATCCCCCATTTATACTTAAAAACCTCATGATCATGTTATCCAGCACGATTTGAGAGCATGAGCACAATGCAAGCACGGAAATCTGACCTTTTGTTCGAAGAGCTCATGTGCTGATTGTCACAAATTTGATTAGTGGCCTAGAAATAGTGTTAAAATGTCCATGTTAACAAGTTTAAATAAATAATAAATAAAGAAATAAATACAAATGACATCTCAAAACGTGCTGAATTCGTTAGTCTTGTGTTTTTATCAATATTATCTTCCATTCATCCATCCACCCACTCCTCCCCCATTCTCTTTTTCTCAGTCTCCTTACCTTTAGAAGTGATCCGGTTGTCTTGTAGGGCTTGTAGATGTGTAATGGCCCAGGTCACATTTCCTCTTTGAGATTGCTCTGAAGTGCCTTTCTGTTTGCGGTTGCTATAGCAATGCTCTCCAAGCCTATTCTGCCACATGCATCATCAGCTGAAAGGCAGACGGGATGGGAGGGCAGAAGAGAGGGGGAGGACAGGTCATGCGTTGCATAAACAGATTACGAGCATGTGTGGGATATGAGGTCATGTGACTAAGATGAGATATCTGGTACAAGGCTTATTTTCTTTATCCCCAATTTATACTTAAAAACCTCATGATCATGTTATCCAGCACGATTTGAGAGCATGAGCTTCAATGCAAGCACGGAAATCTGACCTTTTGTTCGAAAGAGCTCATGTGCTGATTGTCACAAATTTGATTAGTGGGTCCGTCCGTCCGTCCGTCCGTCCGTCCGTCCATCCATCCATCTGGTTTTAGGGTCTGGTTTTAGTTTTAGTTTCAGTTTTAGTTTTAGTTAACTAAATTAATCCTGTGAAAAACAGACTGAAATGACTTATATTTTGAACTGTTCCTCGTGCAAACACACTGTATTTGATTGGAAGACTTGGAATATAGCACACAAGATATACAGCTTTCATAATACTTTTTTTTTTTTAATGCTTGACAGCCCACGATTGCTTTGAATTGTTATTTAATGGGCAAAAATCTGTGTGAATTTTTAAACTTTTTTGTTTGTGGTCCACAGGATAAAAAAATAACAGCATATAGTTTATAATGACATGAATATAAGTAAATAATGAGTAATTAATGAAAGTTCACCCAAAAATTTAAAGTATGTAATCATTTACTCACCCTCATGTCATTACTTCTTCATCTTTCTTTTGAAGAAAACAAATATATTTTAAAGGGTATTGGTTACCAAACCATTACCACTGAATGCCATTGTATGGTAAAAAAAAAAAAAAACTACACTGAGACATTTCTCAAATTATCTTCTTTTACGTTCCACAGAAGAAAGAAAATCATGCAGTTTTGCAACATGAGGGTAAGTATATGATGACAGAAATGTAATTTTTGGGTCAACTATCCCGTTAAGTCATGGTTATTATAATGAGTGGGGCTGAACAAAAAAAGTTGCTATGCAGTTGCAACCTGATCAAAAATGAACAGCGTCAGTTGGGGCTCATCTGAATCTGTCAGGTGCGCATCCCGTGAGGCCTACAATTATCACTTCAGCAGGTTAGAGCTGCTTAGTTCACCTAGAGAAAAAAAACATGGCTGTCTTTGTGCGTTTCCTAGTACAGACATCACAAAGACAGCTTAGTAAACTAATTACCCAGATCGCCCTCCCTTGAACCCGTGATAACGAACATCCTCATGTCGAAAACAAAACGTGCAGTGTGCAGCATCCAACGCACTCCTTTAACCCATGTGTCTTACCTTTGTATTACCGATCCGCAGTATGATGGTGGTACTTTGCTACACAGGTCCTCAAGACCGAGTCTCTCTCCTTGACTGATGTCAAATGAGCTGCGCGGGGTGCTCACGAGCCAGCTGTAGTCCACGCCGCTCTTCAGCCGCCGATATTCATTGTCTCGCTCCCGCTGCAGCCTCTCGGCCTCCTTCATCTGCCAGCTCAGCTCCAGCATCAGTGTGTCCGTAACCACTTCAGAGGGCTCACGTCGTGGGCTCCGATAGTACGGCTCGTTCCAGCTAAACCACGACATACTCGTCGCTTTCACCGGCCCTCTGCTGCTCACCTTAAATTTGGTGCAGTAAAAGCCGTCACGGTTACACAAAACAAAGAGCAATTTAAACAAATGTTGGGTGTACAATAGATTTAATGCCTTTTCTTTTTCATTTAACCTCGAAATTTGGCATAAAGTGCTTGTGAGTGTAAAAATGTACTGTGATTTAGCAGGGTTAAAGGTGAGGTTTTGGGTCCTACAGACTTCCATAGTATTTCAGTACTATGGATCCAATGGAACCCGAAATGGTTTGGTTACCAACAAATGCCATAGAAGAACCATTTTTGGTAAACAGTTCCTAAAAGAACATTTTAATAATCTAAAGAACCTTTTTCCACTATAAAGAACATTTTGTGCAATGGAAATGTTTCAGGGATGTTAAAAGTTCTTCGTGGAAACGTAGATGCCAATAAAGAACCTTTATTTTTAAGTGTGCTCTTCAAAATATCTTCTACTGTGTTTCACAGAAGAAATAAAATCCTACAGGTTTGGAACGACATAAGGGTGAGTAAATGACTAAATAAATTTATTTTATTTTTTGGGTGCACTATCCCTTTAAGGTTATTCTCATTTGCAACATCATATCATTGTTGGGGCTGAATGTTACCAAGCCTAAACCTCAGAGCACAGATGCTCTCTTTAAAGGAACACTCCACTATTTTTGAAAATAGGCTCATTTTCCAACTCCCCTAGAGTTAAACAGTTGAGTTTTACCGTTTTCGAATACATTCAGCCGATCTCCGGGTCTGGCGGTAGCACTTTTAGCTGTAGCTTAGCATAGATCATTGAATCTGATTAGACCGTTAGCATCTCGCTCAAAAATGACCAAAGAGTTATTTTTCCTATTCAAAACTTGACTCTTCTGTATTTACAAGTGTACTAAGACTGACGGAAAATGAA